CTGCCACAAGCACATCTGGACCCTTGGAGAACCATATCACCCAAGCTGGCCCTTTGTTTTTTACACTCTGGAGCTGCAGGAACCATTTCTTGGCAGTATTGCACACACTGGCCAAGATAGGCTTTTCTTACTGAAATAACTTTCCACTTACAGACGGTAACCTTCAAGCTGCTAGAACCACACTGACAGATACCTCATTGAGATAGGATACTTACCAATCTCAGAAGAAAGGAATAGTGGACACTTAGCATGAAGATTCCTTCTGCTTTGATGCAAGGAGGCATCCATTAATAGGATAAGCTTTTCCATCATCTGGCAAAGGCTGGATCACACAGCTGAAGTTCTTTGCCTCAAACCAAGCACCCTCTGGCCTCACCTAATTCCATCCTGTGGCCAAGCTTGAGAAATATTGATATTCATGAAGCATTGGAAGCAAATGGGAGTGGTACAAAAGATGCTGCAAAAAAGAAAGAGCCAACAGCCATGGCGAGGTGCTGGAGTGCATTCAGAGCTGGACCAATGGTGCATTTTTGATAAAGTCACCAGGAAGAGTGTGTGGCTTTGGATGCCTTCATGACATCAAACCAGAAGGCATTTACCTTCAATGTTCAATTCACCATTGGGTGTGAGGAGGTACCCAAGAATGGGATGTGCGCCAGTTATTCTTGATGCTAGGGCTAGACTGGAGGATAGACATGCTCAAGTCCTTGGCTGCCAAGGGTAGATTCTATAGAGGTGAAATTGTGCAGCTTGTGGCATCCCATGAACATAGTAGGAGTGACCCAGGTGGTCACTCGCAGGTCTCAGAATGGCGTATCTGTAGCGAAGGTTGCTGATGCAGTCTCTGTGCTGACTGAAAAAAGCAGGGGAAAGCACTGGGAATTGAGGCAAGCACCGGGAATTGAGGCAAGCACCTTTCCTGACAGAGTACAGAGTTTCCATCTGAAATTTGCAATACACACTTTGAATCCAGAAGGGCTGCAAGTTCCCCTTCTTCAGGAGACAAGATAGAGCAAATCCCTGAGAACAGCTTTCTCTGTGGGGAGTGGCTATGTCAAGGAGGTCCTGGATGGCTTGTGTTATGACTTATTTGTAGAGGGAACTGGCTAGGGATGGGAAGAACCTGTCTCTTGATACCCCTGGTATCAAGTGGAACTCTAAGACTGTAACCCTGATTGTACTGAGCATACAACAGCTCATGGCCTATGACTCCCAGCTGGAGAGGAAGCACTGAAAGCTCCTACCTGCAGGAGTTCTCAACCCATCAGATGTGCTGATGGTTAGACCTGAAAGATTACATTGTTTCTGGGGGGCAGCAGATTTCTGACTTTTTGAGATGAAGTGTGAGACTAAGCTGGTTTTGTGAAGTTGTAATCTCTGGCCCAAAATGAATGTCTGGGTTGCCTCTTGTTGTTCCTGTTGGGGGATGCATGCATGGTTTTCCTTTTGTCCCTGGTTTGTATGAGGGCATCTTTGAGTGCCCTTAAATACTATGGCCAAGGGATGTATGAATTAAATACTATGGCCTAAAGGATGTATGAATTAAACCATGCATCTAGCCACAACAATTCCAGCAGTGGCCCTAGCTCAGTCCAAGGTGGCACCTGCCACAAAGGAATAACCCTTGTACACAGAAGAAGTCCTCTACAGAAAGTTCCAAAGTCCACGTTTGGCAAGATGTCCCCTGCACAGGCTTTGATGCAGCCACCTCATGTGCCGTTTTTGTGCTGTATCTAAACATCTTTTCCCTGAATCTCACGAGTGAAGAATCTCTGTCACTGGAGAGTGTGGCCCCAGAAAGGAGGAGGACCACAGGCACATTTGTATCCTACCTTTTCCCTCAAGGAGTGCCCATTTTATCCTCACAACGCCCATGTCAAGTAGATTAGGCTGACAGACAGCCTGACCCAAAGTCAAACAATGAGCTTCACAGCCTTGCAGGTGTTAGAAGCAACATCTCCCAAGGGTCAATCCAAAGCTGGCCACAGCACTGTACTGGCTCTTCTGGTCCTTCACAGCTTGTTCTGATAAGAAATACAGCTCCTGAGCTGCTTACTCTGCACCATGGCTGCCAGCTCTGCCTTGACAAATTCGTCAAAGGACAGAGAAAAGAGCATTCCCCTTTCTGCTGTCTTCAGTTCTGGAAAGATGGATCTACCTCATGGCACTGCATCAGCAAGGCCTTTGACAAAGTGCCCCATGATATCCTGGTGGAGAAACTGAGGAGTTTTGGGATACACCAAAGCACTGTCCGGTGGATTAGGGCATGGTTGACTGACTGAAAGCAGAGGGTAACCATTAGCGGGGAATCATCGGGATGGCGGCCACTGACAAGCGGGGTCCCCCAGGGCTCTGTCCTGGGGCCCATCCTGTTTAATCTTTTCATTAACGACATGGAAGAAGGGGTGAACAGTCTGCTGATCCAATTCGCAGACGACACTAAAACTGGAGCAGTGGCCACAACTGAGGAGCAGGTACTCCAGATCCAAAAGGATCTGGACAGACTATGGAAGTGGGCAGGAGACAACAGGATGGCGTTCAATGTGGATAAGTGCAAGTTCTTGCACTTGGGGCATAGGAATAGGTGTCATAAGTACAGGTTAGGTGACAAGTGGCTGGAGAGCAGCACTTGTGAAAGGGACCTCGGGGTGCTGGTTGACTGCAGGCTAAACAGGAGTCAGCAGTGTGATGCGGTGGTCAAGAGGGCGAACGCCACCCTTGGTTGCATAGCCAGAAGTGTGGCTTCTAGATCAAGAGAGGTATTACTACCACTCTACACAACTCTGGTGCACCCGCAATTGGAGTATTGTGTTCAGTTTTGGGCCCCTCATTACAGAAAAGATATAGCCAGGTTGGAGTCAGCGCAGCCTAGGGCCACAAGGTTGGTGGCCGGTTTGCAGGGGATGCCGTATGAGGCGAGACTGAGGAAACTGGGTCTCTTCAGCCTGGAGAAGAGGGGACTCAGAGGGGATCTGTTGGCAACATACAGGTATGTGAGGGGATGTCACATGGAGATGGGTAGAGACCTGTTCTCCCCTGCAGAGGAAGGCAGGACACACTCCAATGGAGCAAAGCTCAGGGAGCCAAGGTTCCATTTGGATGCCAGGAAGCACTTCCTGACAGTTAGGACCCCAGGGGTGTGGATGGGCTTTCATGGGGGGTCGTTGAGGCACCATCGGTGCGGGTGTTCAAGGATAGGCTGGACGTCCACATGGTGGGAATGTCGTGAGCGGAGCCGGCTGGTGCCGGAGGTCAGACTAGATGGCCTGGGAGGCCCCTTTTGACTCTCTCTGTTTCTGTTTCTAACATCTGAAGGATATCTCAGGGGAGGGACATAGTAATTATGGGAGATTTCAGCCTCCCAGATAATTAGTTGGGAGTCTCAATCAGTAGCCAGGTCATGTCGCTTCCTAGACACTATAGAAGAAGGGTCCTCAAACTTTTTCAACAGGGGGCCAGTTGAAAGGTGGCAGTAGTGGGTGTGGACCGGTGAGGTGGTGGTGAGCATGTGCACACAGTGAGGCAGCAGCTTTCTCGGAGATCTCCAAGCAAGTCCAAAATGGTCTCTGAGTGAACAAGCTACCAGCAGGTGTGCACATGTGTGAAAGCAGCTTGCTCACTCAGAGATCATTTTCTCCGAGCAAGTCCAAAACAATCTCTAAGTAAGCAAGCTGCTGCCTCGCCACACAGGTGTGCGGCGAGGCAGGTGGTGGTGGGGAGTCCAAAACCTCTGAGGTGGGCCGGAAAAACAGGCATGGTGCCCTGCAGGCCAGATCCAGACCACCATGCCCATTTATCCGGCCCACCTCAGAGGTTTTGGACTTGCTCGGAGAAAACGATCTCCTAGAGAGCAAGCTGCTGGCTTGCTGCGCGCATGCATGTCTGCTGCCTCACTGTGCCTGCAGCCTCACCATGTGTGCACCCGCTGCCATTGCCCTACCTTGCTGTGCATGCACCCCGATCACGCCCATCTCCCCCCAAGTGCGCCCACGATTGCACCAGTCTCCCCCCCACCCCCGAGCCCACTGCCGAGCCCACTGCCACTGACTGGCCCCATTGAAAAAGTTTGAGGACCCCTGCTATAGAGGAAGGGCTTTTCACACAGAGGGTCTGGGAGGCGACAAGGGGGGGTGGGGAATATCCTTGACTTGGTCTTGACCCCCAGGGAGGAGCTGATAGATGAAGTACAGATTAGGGGAGCTCTGGATGCGAGTGATCACTCCATCCTTTGCTTTGAGCTCAGGGGACTGGGGAGCAGTGGCAGGTCAAGTATTAGAAGCTGGGACTTCATGAGGGCCAGCTTTGGTCAACTGAAGCCCAGACTGGGGAAAGTCTCCTGGGAGAGGGTGCTGGAACACAAGGGAGTTCTGGAGGGGAGGATGGTGCTAAAAAGGAAGGTCTTAGAGGTGCAAGCCTTGATGATAACACTAGATAGCAAGGTGGGGAGGCGAAGGAAATCACTGCCGTGGATGAGAAGTGGTAAGAGGCATTAGGCGTAAGAGGAACCTATGTAGGAAATAGATACTGGGGCAAGTAGACAAGAGGGTATACCGGGAGGAGGAGGCCCGTTGCAGAAGGGTTCTTCGCAAGGCTAAGGCTGATTATGAGCTGAGACTTGCAAAGACTATCAGGAGCAACAAAAGGGGACTGATCCTGTTCAATCTTTTCATCAGTGACCTGGAAGAGGGAGTGACAAGTCTGCTGATCAAATTCGCAGACAATACTAAAATGGGGCAGTGGCTACAACTGAGGAGCAGATACTCCGAATCCAAAAAGACCTGGATAGGCTATGGAAGTTTGTGGGGGACAAAAGGATGGTGTTCAATGTGGATAAGTGCAAGGGTGTCATAAGGGGACAAGTGGCTGGAGAGCAACACTTACAAAAAGGATGTCAGGATACTGGTCGACTGCAGGCTAAACATGAGTTAGCAGTGTGGCGCGGCGGTCAAAAGGGTGAACGCCACCCTAGGATGCATAGCCAGAATCATGGTTTCTAGATCGAGAGAAGTAGTACTGCCACTCTGTACAACTCTGGTGTGCTCACAACTGGAGTACTATGTTCAGTTCAGGGCTCCACATTACAGGAACAATCTAGCTAGGTTGGAATTGGTGCAGTGAAGGGCTACAAGTATGGTGGTTGGTTGGAGAGTAAGCCATATGAGGAGAGACTGATGGAATTGGGTCTTTTCAGCCTTGAGGAGACTCAAAAGGGTCCTGTTAGCAACATACAGGTATGTGAGCGGGTGTCACGCAGGTGAGTCGTGACCTTTTTTCCCCTGCAGAGGAGAGCCAGATGTGTTTCAGTGCAACAATGCTCAGGAAGCCAAGACTCAAGGTGGATGCCAGGAATTACTTCCTGATGGTTAGGACCCCAAGGGCATAGAATGGGCTTCCACAGGTGGTTGAGGCCCCATCGGTGAGGGTGTTCAAGGATAGGCTGGACATGGACATGGTAGGCATGTCATGAGCAGAGCTGGCTGGAGCCGGGGGTCAGACTAAATCGCCTGGGAGGCCCTATCTGATTCACTCTATTTCTATGCATGGGCAGCTGCCCATTCCAATGGGAACTTGAGAAGAAAGGAGGGGAGGAGTTGTAAGTTTGGGCAGAGGAGAGCCAGGTCAATCTAACCTTGGGGATGAGGAAATAAGAGAAGAGGAAGAAGAGTTGAGAAACTGGCCTGGGGGAAGCCACAGTCTACCAATCTGCTGAATGTGTCTCACAGCAGGGGAGCAGGGAAAGAGAGCTCAGTAGTTTGTTGGGTACAGAAGTCCCTCCTCCTGAGGATTTGGCACTGGCTGGTAGGTGCCAGCACTAGCGGGAGGTTCAACTGGGTGAGAGACAGGAAGAATGCAGACGAGCACAATTCCACAGCGACCCACCTTCTGAAGCGAGATGCCAAAGGAGTATAAAAATGCAAGGGAACGATTGATGTCAAAGAGGGTTCAACGTTTCACTCTGACTGAACTGAGAGGCATGTGAAGATAAAGTCCATTGGCAAAAGGAGTTCCAGAGTAGCATGTTTACTCAGCAGGAGGACCCTGGCTCACAACATGTACCAATGGAAAAAAATGGTTTGTACCATTTGGTAACTACTCAAATTACATGGAATGTTATTTATTTATCAATATCATGCCTTTTTTCCTTTCAAGGAACTCAATCTTATCCTCACAACAGCAACCTTGTGAGGTAGGTTGGGCTAAGAGTCTGTGACTGACCCAATGTCACCCAGTCGCTTCCATGGATGAGTGAGGACTATGCCCTGGATCGCCTGAGTCCCAGTCCCCAGCTTTGAACCTCTACACTACACTGGCTCTCTGGAATGAACAAGTGTTACCCAGAAGGCAAGAGAATCAACCATTCAGCTTCCTGAGAAGTCTTGCTTAAAAAAAAGTTTCTCATTGCTCTGGGCTTGTAGGGGAAGTGGGGGAAGAGAGAGAAGAAGGCACTTGGCAAGATGGTAAACCCAAAAAGGGCCCTGTTGAGAGAATACATTTTCACTCCCCATCTCTAAGCCCCTGCACCTACTGGCTCTCTCTTGCAGCTGCAGAAGGCCAAGCCAGAGCACTGGAACGATGCCAGCATACAGCCTTTGGTGCCACCTGCTCTTCTGCTGAGAGGAACGGCAGGCTCAGAGCCTGCGGTCGAGCACCCTAACCTGCGCCAGAGGCAACTCCCCTGCTTGCAAGCCCACCTCCTCTCACACAAACCGACCTCACTCCTTCCTCCAGCTGGGCAGTTTCCAGAACCCTAATTTTATTTCTGGAAGAAAGGGGAAGGGAAAAATGATGGATTATGATGGTCTTACCCAAATAATAATCAAAGGGGTGGGGGAGTGAGTGGAGGCAGAGTTATTCCATGCAGCCTGAAAAGGGACCGCCGAACAGCCCCAAACTCAGCAGCCAATGGCCAGACAACTGAAGCCTGCCCTCTGGCACTTTAAAGACTCCAGTCAGTGACAGAATTATACCTTGCCTCCCCCATCTGCCCTCACACAGTCCTCAGCACCCACTGCCAGGCAGCCACTTGTGTTAACTCTTCAGTTTCAGCTAAATGTCGCTGAGGATCCAGCTGTCCATCTCCATACTCCTCACACAGTTGTGCCTCCAGGAATGCTCTAGTCAAGCCAAAACCAAGGCAGGGTGAAAGCATTGCCTGTCCTGCCCTGCGGAGTGGCTGCCTGCCCATCCCAGCTTAAGAGGCAGTGGCTGAACTCCTCAGGCAGGGCTCCACCACCAGTGGGTACTTCACAGAGCCAAGACCAATTCAGTGGCCAGAAGGCATCACCTGTTTGGTGCCTGTTGAGTGACTGCTCAAGAACTGGGCTTTATGTGGGAACAGGACAGTCTCACAGCAATAGCTATCAGCTTAGAAGTGTAGTAGATTGTTTGGTTTTATTATATACATTTTAATTCTGTTACTGGGTAATTTTAGAGAGCAAACAGGTGTCCTCATTACTGTGGTCATGGGCAGGGGGAGGTATGGCATGGGGGATCAACAAGCCAGTCAAGGGACGTGATCTCTCACAGCTATCCCCTCTTCTGTTTTTCCCCAACTGGATGACTCCTGGCAGCCTCTCCAGCTTGCTCTTGGATCTGGTGCTGGTAGTGGTGCTGCTGAATGTCGTGTTGGCCCAGGAGGAGACATCCCTCATCCATGACTCAATTGTGAATGAGGGGGCTGTCCTGGCTTGCATCACTGAGACCTGGGTGGGTATATTGGAGAGGTTACAGCCTTGCCCCCGGGTACTTGGTGCAGCATCAGCATTGCCTCAACGGGGGAGGAGGCAGGGTACTCATAGTCTATGGGAATACGATCTCCCTCTCTAGGCTTCCTGTTCACTCAACTGAAGGTCTTGAGTATTAGTGCCTTGTGCTGGGCACTCAAGAAAGATTAGAATTCCTGCTGGTGTACCACTCGCCCCACTGTCCCTCAGATTCCCTGTTGAGCTGATAGAGGTGGTCTCAGACCTGGTGTTGAGGACCCCAGGATGATGGCTCTGGGGGATCTTGACTTCCATGCTGAGCCTGTTGTACCCAGGGCTCCCTTTGCAAGGGTGGGGACCTTTTAAAATGGTCTGTCCCTGGAGGCCAATGGTTCCTGATGGTTTCCGGAGGGCTCTGTGGGAATTTCCTGCTGGTATGGCTGGCACTTCTGTCAAAGCCCAGGTCACTCTGTGGCATGCAGAGATTACTCAGGCAATGGACACACTTGCATCTAAGTGCCCCCTTCCCTTCAGCAGAGCCCAGCCAGCTCCTGGGTACACACGTAAGCTGAGGGCAAAGAAACAAGAGGGGAGACAGCCAGGGTGTAGATGGAGGAAATCTCATGCTATGCTTTAAGAGAACACAGGTCAGAGCTTGTTATGGCTGCCAGCTGAAGTCTGGGCCTGATTCAAAGTGCTGGTATCAATCTTCAGACACCTGAATGGCTTGGGGCCAAATTAACTGAAGGAAGGTCTCCTCCTATACATACCTATCTGGACGCTGAGGTCATCTTCAGGTGTCCTTTTCTGGGAGCCCTCACCAAAGGAAGTGAGTGGCTATGAGAAGGGCCTTTTCAGTGGTGGCATCCCAGTTATAGCACAACCTCTCCAAAGAGTTGCACCTGGTACCAACTCTGTATTCTTTCTGGCACCAGGTGAAAACATTTTTTGATTTTCCCGTATTTTAATAGTTAATTTTTACTTTAGTTTTAATATTCCATTTTATCCTCTACTGGTGCTATACCTCTGTGCTGAATCAATTGCTATGGTTTTATTGTCTCATGTCTTTTTATTCTAGTTTTTAACTTTTGCTAACTGCCCAGAGAGCCTCAACTATTGGGTGGTATTAATTTAAATAAAAAATAGTCATCCCACAAGCCCCAAACCAGCCGCAGGCTCCCTCCTGCTGCCGCTGCCCAGAACCCCCTGCTGCCAGCAGGCGCATCTCCACTTGCCTTTCCCAAGTCCAGCGGGGCCTGCCCCCTTCTGCAGCAGCAGAGAGCTCTGCTGCAACAGCTGCTTCATGGGACTGTGAGGGAAGAGACATCCAGCACTGAGTGGAAGCCGCTGGAGTGGAAGCGGGGGGGGGCCTTTCTGCACAGGTGCCTCCACTGTACAGTGGGGCAAGGCTGCATGCCAGTGGCCAGCCTGGCCTGCTAGAGAGCTTGCCAGCTGACTGCCTGAGTTCCACCATGTCCGGCAGGCGGTTGCGACTGACACATGAAGTGACATTCTGGTTGGCCCTCAGAATTTTGAACTGCTATGTCCCCAGTGTGATTTGCTGCTCTGTAACTTACCACCAGCTGCAGGTTGTTTCAGAAGCTATGGAGGGAAGTCCCACCAAACAAGGCAGGCTCTGGAGGGAGGGGGAGTTCTGCTGGAGTTCTACATCCAAGGTATCTCCCCTTCCCACCTAAGTCCCTCTCCCACTGTGGAAGCAGAGATCGCCACATGCCAAAGGGTCCACCAAACACATGGCTACATGACCATTCTCAATGGCACATACAACTGTCTGTTAATCAACTCTCATCTAAACATAACAACTTCTTAAAGATCACAGGACAGGACAGGACAGGACAGGAGAAAGGAGTCCATGACAGGGCTACTCTCAGGCAGATGAAAGAACTCCCCCAAGAGCTGTTTTGACAGAAGGTAACCAAAGTATTGTGGAAGCAGCAAGAAGACACCCAGTCCGGCAGCCTGTCCATAGCTGCAGGCTGCCAATGGTGTGCAGGGTTCTGGTGCTCCAGACAAGAGTCAGCTGCCTCCAGCTCACAAGAAAGGAAGTGGCAGAGAAAGAGGGAGAGAGACATGGCCTTCCTCAAGAAATCCACCGAGAGTCCTGCCTCGTCCCAGTGGCCACACATGAAACTTGCTACTGGCCTGGCCTGGCCTGGCCGGCTTCAGGGGGACTTACCTGGCCGGAAGCTCCCATCTGAGCAGCCTGGGCTTGGGTGGCTGCCACCTGCTGCGGCTGCTGCTGCTGCTGCGGCTGCTGCTGCTGTGGCTGCTGCTGCTGCTGCTGCTGCTGCAAAGCTCTTACCTTAAGGAAAAAAAACAAAGCATGAAGTTCCACACAGACCTGGGTTGATTCAGTCACAAGCACATTTTAGAAACACTCAAGGGCCTCCTGGAAACCTTGAAGATCCAATCCAAACCAAACCACTCCAGCTACACCTTTGCGACACCTGAGCTCTTGAAGTGGTCCTTATTCAAAGTCAAACTAACAACAAACACTCCAGATTTCAAGCAGAAAGGAGCTTCCCCTAGGCTGCTTCCAGCAGGTATCCAGAACTGTGATTCTGAAGCTAGGAAAAATTACATGAGTGAAAATAACACATTTGATGGTGGAAGCCCATTAACAGCCCAGATGTAGCATGGAAACTCAAATTAATGTCACCCTGACCACTTCAAAGCAGGGCAGGAGCAGGCAGTATGAGCAGAAGAAAGCACTCCAGGACATACCCCGAGCCAAACAACCACAAATCTGGTTATTAACCCGGGTGGTCATATTGACAAGCCACAGGATTCCAAGGACATGCAATATTCTGCAATATTGGAAAAATAGAATAGCAGAGCTGAAAGGGGCCTAGAAGGCCACTGGGTCCAGCCCTGTGATCAGTTCAGGACTCCAAGTTAACACCTTCCTGACTGGCTGCCCAGCTGCCATGACCACCCTCGGTAATTGGCAGCAGCATCACATCACAGTCAGGAAGGTTTTTCAGAATCTGGCTTCCTGTTCCTTGAAACTGAAATGTTTCTTGAAATTGTTGCTCACAAACAGGGTGCTATAACGACTGCAATGGGGAAATAAATTAAAATAAAATGAAATATGCAGGTGACAATATTGCAGCATCTTCTTCATGGTCTTTGTGCATCACGCATATAGGCAACTAGCAAGCTCACCCTTTGCCAGAGGATGATTCGCATTATCACTCGAGTATTGATGACAGGACTGCTCTTGCAAAAGCACAGTCACCCCTGGTGTGAATATCAAGTTGGCAGTGCATTGTGCATAATGTTGACCAGGCCACTAGTAAAGGAATCCCAGCATCCAGTGCTGTCAGAGTCACTACTACCTGAGTCAAATGTGCTCTCCATTGAACCAGAAGCTGTGGACCTGACAGTTCATATGCTAAAGAAATTGTCCACTCCACCCAGACTGCAAGCTGTTGTGGAAAAGGGACTGTCCTTTAGTCTTCCTTCCATAACAAACAAAACATTTCTGAGTTCCATGGAAAGACTCAGTCCAAGAGTGGTAGGACACCAGTATCCTACACACATCCAGGATGTGCATCAAAGAATCCCTTGGCTTGGACAAAGATGGAAAAAAAGCCAGCAAAACAATTTCTTGGTTCAAACGAAATGAAGTAACTTTGGGGAGAAAAGATGGGTCCAGGCGCAACATGGGATCTGAGCTTTCCTGATGAAAGATGAGGTATGGAGGAACAACCCAGAGGACACACAGTTCACTGGAGTGACAAGTGAATGCATCAACCACCAGGAATGCCACCTTCCATGGCAAGAAAGGCCAACCACTGCCATGGATACCAACACTTTTCATGTTAAGTCTTGGAAAAAAACCCACACAAGTCCGAAATGATCGAGTAAGTGGAAGAATGTTCGTTAGTCCCTTCAGGAAATGCCAACTCATCAGGTGCAGAAAATTGACAAGTCCTGGGCCATGTCGTGTAAGGAGAAAATAGCCACTACTGTATTCACACTGAGGCGGCTTTTAGTTTGCACTGGTGTGACCAGGTAGAGAAGGACTCTCTCGATTGTGCAGTCATATGGGTCAAATCCTTCAGTGCTGGTGAAGAGGCAGAAAGCTTTCCACTTTGCGGCATATGACATCCTGGTTGATGCCTTCACAGCTGCCTCCAGTAGTCTGTTCAGTTCAGCCCAAAGAGATGAATGTGTGCCCTTGGGATGCTGTCAGACAGAGAGCACTGATGTCTGGGTGGGAAATTTTCCCCCAATCCTGAGAGATCATACCTGGGATCAATGGAAGCTAGATGTACTTCGTACTTGACCAAGGTTTAATCACCAGAGTGTGAACATGATATAGAAACCTAGAAACTGAGTGAGTCAAAAGGGGCCTCCTAGGCCATCTAGTTTGACCCCTGGCTCCAGCCAGCTCCACTCATGACATGCCTACCATGATTTGTCGCATCCTGCTGCATCTTCACCAATCCTCTCATTATCAGTGGAAAAGAAGAATGGAAACAAGGCACCTATCCAGCACAGCAGGGACACATCTCCAAAGGAGACTTTTACCTCTCCTGTTCAAGAGTAGAAACTATTGCAGACAGCATTGACCAAAGAAGTCTAGAAGACCTTGTTTGGAATCTCTGTGTCTGTCAGAATATCGGCCACTCCTGTTCAATAAAATTGCTAGGGTGCTGCTGGTTCCAGCAATGTGAACAGCAGCCAAGGTAATTCATCTGCTGACACACCAGTCCCAGATTTGAACAGCTAGCTGCATCAATGGAATCAATCTGGTGACTCCATGTTTGTTGATGCAGAACACCATTGTGGTACTGCCCATGGCAATTTGAACAAAAGATGAATGGTCCCTAAAATCAATAAAAATGGGCAGGGAAGGAGACAAGGAGCCAGCACAGGGATCCAGTCAGTGCTTCCTATTTCTTTTCCTTCTTGCACATCACTGTCCCTGGCTGTTTGGAAAGGCAAAGATCAAGAATCAAACCACTTACATGGCCAGCCAGGTGAGTACTAGAAGACATAGAAACATAGAAACAGAGCGAGTCAGAAGGGTCCTCCTGGGCCATCCAGTTTGACCCCCAGTGCCAGCCAGCTCCGCTCACGACATGCCCACCATGTGCATGTCCAGCCTATCTTTGAACACCCTCACCAATGCGGCCTCAATGACCTCTCATGAAAGCCCATTCCACACCCTCGGGGTCCTGACTGGCAGGAAGTGCTTCCTGGCATCTGAATGGAAACTTGGTTCCCTGAGCTTTGCTCCATTGCAGCGCGTCCTGCCTTCCTCTGCAGGGGAGAACAGGTCTCTACCCATCTCCATGTGACATCCCCTCACATATCTGTATGTCGCCAACAGATCCCCTCTGAGTCTCCTCTTCTCCAGGCTGAAGAGACCAGTTCCCTCAGTCTCGCCTCATATCCCATCCCCTGCAAACCGGTCACCAACCTTGTGGCCCTACACTGCACTGACTCTAACCTGGCTATATTCTTTCTGTAATCAGGGGCCCAAAACTGAACACAATATCCAGTTGTGGGTGCACCAGAGTCCTATAGAGTGGTAGTAATACCTCTCTCAATCTAGAAGCCACACTTCTGGCTATGCAACCAAGGGTGGCGTTCGCCCTCTTGACTACCGCATCACACTGCTGACTCCTGTTTAGCCTGCAGTCAACCAGTACCCCGAGGTCCCTTTCACAAGTGCTGCTCTCCAGTCACTTGTCACCTAACCTGTACTTACAACAGCTATTCCTATGCTCCAAGTGCAAGACCTTGCACTTATCCACATTGAACACCATCCTGTCGTCTCCTGCTCACTTCCATAGTCTGTCCAGATCCTTTTGGATCTGGAGTACCTGCTCCTCAGTTGTGGCCACTGCTCCAGTTTTAGGGTCGTCTGCGAATTGGATCAGCAGACTGTTCACCCCTTCTTCCATGTCGTTAATGAAAAGATTAAACAGGATCGGCCCCAGGACAAAGCCCTGGGGGACCCCGCTTGTCAGTGGCCGCCATCCCGATGATTCCCCACTAATGGTTACCCTCTACTTTCGGTCAGTCAACCATGCACTAATCCACCGGACAGTGCTTTGGTGTATCCCAAAAATCCTAAGTTTCTCCATCAGGATATCACGGGGCACTTTGTCAAAGGCCTTGCTGAAATCCAGGTATACCACATCCACTGCACCCCCCCTATCTAGCCATCTTGAAACCTTGTCATAGAATTCCACAAGGTTTGTCTGGCAGGACCTGTTTTTGCGGAAGCTGTGTTGTGTGGCTGCCAGCCTCCCTTCCCTATCTAGCATCGCTATATCTCTATTATGAGCCTTTCCATTGTTTTTCCCACAGTGGACGTGAGGCTAACTGGTCTGTAATTCCCCATGTCCCTTCTACTACCCTTTTTGAAAATTGGGACCACTGATGCCACCCTCCAGTCCTCTGAAACTTCACCCGTTCTCCACGAGGTCTCAAAAATGGAGGCCAGTAGGTGAGAGAGAACCCCTGCCAACTCTCTAAGTACTCTCGGGTGTAACCTGACAGGGCCTGGCGCCTTTGTAATGCCCAATGCCCTGAGGAGCCCCTCGACTTCAAGGGGGGTGACTCTAATCTGTGCCCCTAAGTCCCCAGCCTCATCCAATCTCCTATGCGGATATCCCCCGTCCAGCTTTGGGGGGAACACAGAGGCAAAATAGTCATTTAGCATCTGTGCCTGTTCCCTTATATCAGTCACTGGATCTCCTTCCTCCTTATTTAGTGGTCCCACCACTTGTCTCCCCTTCCTCTTCCTATTTACATGCTGAAAGAAGCCCTTTTTGCTGCTCTTGGCAAGTATCAGCATGTAATCAGCCTGAGCCTTGAGAAGAATCCTTCTGCAACGGACCTCCTCCTCCCGGTATACCCTTTTGTCTGTTTCCCCCACTACCCATTTCCTACGGAGGTTCCTCTTTCGTCTAATCCCTCTACCCACCTCCTTTCATATCCATGGCGCACGCTCTCCTCCGCCTCCCCGCCTTACTAACTAGAGGTATCATCAAGGCTTGTGCCTCCAAAACCTCCCTTTTGAGTGCCATCCACCCCTCCTCAACTCGCTTACCTTCCAGTAACATATCCCAGGAGACTTTCCCCAGTCTGGCCTTCAATTGGCCAACGTTGGCCCTCTTGAAGTCCCAGCTTCTAGTGCTTAACCTACTGCACGTCCCCAGTCGCCTGATCTCAAAGCAAAGGATGGAGTGATCATTCATATCCAGAGCTCCCCTAATCTATACTTCATCTATCAGCTCTTCTCTATTGGTCAAGACCAAGTCAAGGATGTTCCTCCCTCTTGTCGCCTCTCGGACCCTCTGTGTGAAAAACCCTCCCTCTATAGCCTCTAGGAAGTGACGTGACCTGGCTGTCACTGCCCAGTGAGTCTCCCAACTAATATCCGGGAGACCGAAATCTCCCATAATTACTGTATGGGAGATTTCCTTGCAGTGGTCTGCTCCTTGTAGATCAAGCTCATCCATTCATCGGTTTGGGTGTTGAAGAACCTGTCCCTGCTGGAAGGGCAGGTATTCAATACCGGAATGGACTGCCTTCAAGAGACTGGAGAAGTGTAGCCAGGTGTACCTCTCTAGCACCACTGCACCAATTATGGCCTTTGCTCCAGCCTGCCTGGTGTTTCTCTGCATCCAGGAGAGGCATGCTACCTCACTCTGGAAAACCCTGGGAACTTTGTTGTTCGGGCAGAGGGTAATCACAAAAGGAGCACAGCTTCTCCCCAAGGAAGAACTGGTATCTCATTATGGACACTTGGTAGCTCAAGAATCCCAGAGCAGTAGAGGCATGGATGTCCAGAGTCCAGGCAGTGTCCCCCATTGTTGGAGGGCGTGCAGTGCTGCCAATGCATCTTTTCCTGTGCCAGCTCATCAATAATTGAGTTTTGTTTCGGAGCTTGAAAAAGGAAGGTCACAGAATCTTAGAATAAAAGAGTTGGAAGGGGCCATGAAGGCCACAAAGTCCAACCCCCTGCTGTTGCAGGACATGTTACACCATCCCACTCAGATAGCTGTCCAGGTCCTTTTTGAATGTCTCCAGTGTGGGAGTGCCCACCACCTCTCTAGGCAGCTGGTTCCACTGTTGCATTGCTCTGACAGTGAGGAAGCTTTTCCTGATGTCCAGGCTGAATCTGGATTGCTGCAACTTGAATTGATTATTCCGTGTCCTATGTTCTGGCATTAGTAAAAAGAGACCTAGACCTTCCTCTTTGTGGCAGCCTTTGAGGTACTTATTCCCCTCAGTCTTCTGTTCTCAAGGCCGAACATGCCCAGTTCCCTCAGTCTCTCCTCATAGGTCAATGTTTCCAAACCATGGATCATTTTTGTTGCCCTCTGCTGGACCCTTTCTGATTTACCTGCATCTTTCTTAAATCTTGATGCCCAGAACTGGACAGAATATTTCAGGTGAGGTCTGACTAGTGAGGAGTATAGAAGAACTACTTCTCATGATTTGGAAGTAGTATTTCTGCTAATGTATCCCAAAAGAGCACCTGCCCTTTTGCTGGGTGCATCACATTGTTACATCTTATTGTCCACAATTACTCCAAGATCTTTTCCAGTTCCATTTAGCCACATATTCCCCATCTTGTACCGAAGACTTTGGTTTCTTTTTCTTAGGTGGAGGACTTGGCACTTGTCCTTATTGAATTTCATTCTGTTGGTTTCAGCCCAGTGTTCAAGTTTATCAAGATCGCCCTGGATCTTCATTCTGTCTTCTAATGTGTGTGCTATTCTGCTCAGTTTTGTATCATCTGTGAATTTGATTATTGTCATGTCCTTCTCCTCCACCTGATACATGCTCTCCAATCTTTTTGACATTGGTGCCATACTCAATAGTTCCTTGCATGGCTGTTGAACCATCTGGAGCAAGTTTGACAGGAAGAGGGCAGCAACCAGAATTAAATCCTCTGTCAGTGAAAACTGGATCCAACCCTCTCTGGTTGCAACTGCATCACAATACTGAGGGCCTAGCCCATCTGCTAGACTTTTCTGCAAAGTGGCCCATGTCAGCCAATGGTGAAGTAGGGTCCCCAGTGTCCATAGCTGTGTCCAGAGAGAAGTTCAGCTCAACAGATGGTAATGTGTCGGAGTCAGATTGGTAGTCCTTGACATCCATTAGCAGAGATGGACTGAAAAGTACATAGAATCATAGAGTTGGAAAGAGCCAGAAAGGCACAGGGTCCAACCCCCTACTGTTGCAAAAGAGCTGGATTAGCACAGTGGCATGGCGGTGGAGGAGGGTGGCTCTAGGGCCTGTGCAACTGTAGAGGTGATAAAGAAGTGCACCCATCCCCCACATGTCCAGAGAAGAGACAGGCCTGTACCAAAGGCTGCATGTGAGGCTGTGATGGTACATACCACAGGGATCATGGTATGTGACAGGGCTCTGACAGACCTGCAGGATGGGGACATGCGCCATTTGTCCCAGCCTGAGACAGGTGCAATCCCTTTAGTCATCTGTCCTGAGCAGCTCCTGTGGACATTTGATCAGTAATGGTGCAACTGGCTCCATCAAAACCATGGCCACCAGGGGGAGTCAAGGAGGTGGCATGTCTCAAATCTCCCCTTCTGACACAGACTGAGCTAGAGTCTAGCCTCAGTGCTTACATGACATCTTCATGGGCAATTGGTTCCAACATGGTTGATACTGACCAAGGGTCCATTTGGCACTGCTTAGCTTTGGCGATTGAAGACTCCACCTCTTTCATGGCCAACACTGTGACCTTCATCAACTGTCGCAGAGCTGAGGGAGGCAACTGAGCCAGAGCCATGACAGCAGCTGAAGGTGTGGATACAGCAGTAGTGGGCAGGAAATGTCACGTGTGCCTGAGGCTCTATGAGCCTTCCTCCAGAGCTCTGCCCAGAGTGGGTCAGCATGGTGTTTATGAGACTACCTCATGAAAGCCTGGCAGTGAAGGCACTGGTTGACCACATGTCCCTCACCTGAATATACATAGCAGGTACAAAAAATCCCTGCCTGTCCACAGCAATTTCAAGTCATCGCAAAAAAGGAAGGAGAAAAAAATAAGAGAAGTTCCAGGTAGGTTTGTGAAAAGTGTAGGATCATGAAGAGAGAGGGTTTTTTTATGGTTTTTATTTACAGTGGATAGGTTAAAAAAAAAAAGAATGGCTTATGAAAACTAAAACTCGAGAGAAGAAAAAAACAGGTTTATAGGAAAAGATGCTAGGCTATTTTAATGGAAAAAAGGTTTGTAGTGGGAAAAACACTCAAGAATTAGAGCAGAGAGAAAGTCCTTTCCAAGGCACCAAAGGCAGCTGAAGAAGAACTGAAGGAAAGGGTGGGAACTCCTCCCTTTTAAAATGAATGCCAGAGTGGGGGAGGGTGTCCATCAAAACACTCTTAGCTACTAAATCTTCCCAGTAACAGGCTCCACACAGGCACATATAGTCCGTATGTGTGATGCACACAGACCGTGAAGAAGAACAGTGTTTACTGCTAGGAACTGAAAGAAAATTTGAAAAAAACCCCCAGAGATTCTCATAATGTTTAGAAGGATCTGCAAGCCATGCCAAAGCATCCTAAGAGGGTACCACCCTCTTATCACCATCTCATGGCAAAGCAACATTGCTGCAGGTGTTGCACCTAGGAATGAGGAATGTGCCAAGCTTTAAAGCACCAGAGAGACTCGTGGCAAGAAGCAGCATCACACACAAAGCAACTGAGCTGTCGACCTCATGGCCAAAGGAGAGAAGGAGCTCTCTTATATCACTGGCCCACCCAGTGCAGGCTGCTCCTGCTGACAGTTTGTAAAGGTCTTGGAGAAAGAGGGCTCTCCTTAGCCCTGTCCCCCAGGATCCCCGAGCTTGCAATGTGGAGAGGCACCACTCATGCAAGGCAAAAGGGCTGGTTGTGGGCACTTACCTGCATGGCTTTTAGCTGCTGGGCGGTGAGGGTGACAGGCACAGCCTGACTAGGAATCTGCCCTGCGATAGTCTGTGCTTGGGACACCAGGGGCTGTGGTGGAAGCACGGGCGGCTGTGCTTGGCCGACCTGCTGCTGCTGCATCTGCTGCATCTGCTGCATCTGCTGCTGCATTGCCTGTGGTGCTGGAGGGTTCTGCTGTGAGACAGGCGGTGGCGGTGGCTGCGGCTGCTGCGGCGGTGGCGGCGGCGGCTGCTGCTGCTGCTGCTGCTGCTGCTGCTGCTGTTGCTGCACTTGAATGGCTTGGGCTGCCTGCTGTTGGAGCTGCTGCTGCATCTGAGCAATGCGCTGCAGCTGCTGCTGCTGCATCTAGAACAGGAGAGGGTTGAAGGAAAAGAGTTGCAAGTACAACTGTTGGACTCAACCCAGATGGCCAGGTAGGAGACCCTCACATTGCCAGAAAGGAAGAAGGACATAGATCGGCCATGGATCCCACAAAAGCTTTGGATGGTATGCATGCTAAAAGGGTTACCAACAGCACTGGGAACTCTTGGAGAACAAATCAGCCTACATTCATTTATTTGTTTATGCCATTTTATACCGCCCAATAGCTGAAGTTCTCTAGGCAGTTAGCAAATGTTTTTTAAAAGTTAAACATTAAAAGAATAAACACACAAACTACATAACATTTGCAATCGAATTAGTAGCAGAGGTACAGAAAAATGCAGTATTAAAAATGAAGCTAACAAGTTAAGCTGTTAAATAGATAATAGCAGCCTGGTTTGTTTTTATTGTTTCTACCATATCCATTTTAATTATGCATCTGGGTGACTTTGGGGAGCAAGAAGGTACCCCCATTATAGCAGTCATGGGTAAGGGTAGGCATGGCATTGGGGGATCAACAAGCCAGTCAAGGAGAAGAGGGACGACATCACTCACAGCTAACTCCTCCTCTGGTTTTCTCCCAACTGGATGATTCCTGGCAGCCTCACCTGCTTGCTCTCAGGTCTGCCACCGCCGCCACATACCATATCAGCCCAGAATGAGACCTCCCTCATAAGAAACATAATTAAAATGGAGATGATAAAAAATAAAAACAAACCAGCTTGCTATGTCCATCTCTTCATCTTTGCTGTTTGCATCAAACAGCAATTTTCACTTGCTCAACAGCTCAGTTTCCATCTGCTCTCTATGGAAGCTCATGGTGCTTTTCCCTTTAATATACCACCACCACATTCATGTACAGGCAGTCCACGAGTTACGAATGAGCTGCCATTATGCCCACTGCCTTTAAAAAACTACTACAGAAAACTGTCATCACCATGGAGAGGAAGTGAAAGGGGAGAGAGGGAGGGCCTCCAAAGCACACCTGCCTGCCCTGCCCATCCGGAGAAGGAAGCCTCTCCAGCATTTCCCTGCTGCAAAGAGGCAGCACTGGCGAATTTGGGTGGGTGAGGGCTAGAGATATTTTACTGGCATTCTGCATCCCTATCCCCTGCAAATATGGAGAGCTGATTACACATGATCTGACTTACATACAAATTTGACTTAAAAATGAATTACCATTTTCTCAGGAATAAAACTTGTTTGCAACTTGAAGACTACCTGTCCACAGAGAGTTGAACTCCTCTCTCTTTTAAGGAGTTGATTATATTTCCATCCTCTCCTCAGTTAAATACCTCTCTTTCAGATGGGAGAGTAAGGTTGCTTATCTGTAACCAACTTCCTTTGAGTGGCCATCTGTGCATTCACACATATGGGCTCTGAATCTGCACAGGGCCTGCTGTGGGGAACAGTTTCCAGCTAAGCTCATTCTGGTGGGAGCCACAGCCCTCCCCTCCTCCTAGTATATAAGGGTGGGGCTCCCGCCATTTTTCTAGTCCAAAGACTAGAGGCATTTTGGCCTCATAACTGGGAAGGAAGAAGGCACTGGTTACAGTCCAACCCAGGCCCATCTGGTCCAGATCCATAAAAGAGGAAGAAGCAAAAGAGGGTTATGAAGGATCACACCCACACAGGGATGGTAGGTGGATTGTGTGAATGCACAGATGAACACTCAAATAACATCAGTTGCAGGTAAGCAACCTGACTTTCTTCTTTGTGGTCTCCGTGCATCACACATATGGGTGACTAGTGAGCTTACACTGAGAACAGAGGAGGGTAGATGTTGCCAGTGGCAGACTGCTGAGAATAACACTCGGCTGAAGGTGCAGTCTTGTCTGGCTAAGACATTGAGCCGGTAGTGTTGGATGAAGGTTTACGGAATGGATGATGTAGCTGCTTTCCTGTATTGGGATACTAGCATGAAGTGCCATAGATGTAGTGATTGCCCTTGCAGAATGAACTCTTGGTTCATCTGGTAGTTGCAGGCCATTCAGTTGGTAGGCAAGTCCAATGGTTTCAACGATGCGTTATGCAAGTCACTGGGTACTAACTAAGAGTACTAAGAGCCTTTTGCTCTTTTGGCATATATGAAAAGTCTTTGTGAACAATGGCAAGACTTGGTTCAGGACCAAAAGAGCACTGGCACTCACCATACATCAAGGTTGTGCAGCACCATCTCTACTAAGTTCAATGGTGATTGGAAGAATGCCAGCAGTACAATGCCTTGATTCAGGTGGAAGTATGACATGAGTTTTGGCCGGAATGACTGACTGGGATGGGGAACTACTTTTTTCTTTATGAAAAAAGGAACAGTGGGTTGATACATAAATCACACATTTCACTTACTCTCCTTGTCAATGTATTCACTACCAGGAACACAACCACCCAAGAGAAAAGATGTAAGTCCAGAGAAGCTAATGGCTGCAATGGAGGTTTTGTAAGTGCTTGGAGGACCACTGACAGGGCACAATGTAACAGACAGGTGGTACAAAGTGGGGGGAACTATTGGAACAGAGGGTGAGAGAAAATGGAAAAACCTTAAAGCATTCCGTGGAAGGCCGAGATCACTACTAAATAGATTATGATAGAGGGCAGTTTCAGGCCCTTGGCAGGGGAACGCATACAGAAATCTGAGAATTTGCTGGATGTGGATCAAATTTCTCCATCTGAGTGAAAATCATGAAACATAGAAATAGCAAGTCAGAAGGGGGCTTCCAGGCCATCTAGTCTGACCCCGACTCCAGTCCACCATGTGCATGTCTAGCCTATCTTTGAACACCCTCACCGATGGGGCCTCAACCACCTCCCGTGGAAGCCCATTCCATCCCCTCGGAGTCCTAACTGTCAGGAAGTACTTCCTGGCATCTAAACTGAACCTTGGGAATGAGGGTATTCCATTTAGCATTGTAGGAACACCTCAAGTTTGACTGTAGAGCCACATCCAGGACTGATTGGATTTTGAGGATGGAACTGGGCTGCCAAGTTTATTAGTCAATCTTCCACATGTGGCCTGGACATCTGGATGCAAGATCATCCCCCAGTCCCAAGAGGTGAAGTCCAGCTTTGTCAGGAGGCGCAGAAAGGTGGAATTCAACAGGCAAAGTAGATGAGTGAACCACATCTGCTGAGACCACCACAGACTCACCAGAATGCAGGACATCTTCTCCCTTCGGATTTTTGCCAGCATCCTGGTGAACAGTGTGGAAACAGTGGAAACATATAGTATAACAGAAATTTTCACATATCACATTGACCGGTGTTGCAAACAGGTCCATGGAAGAGTGTGAGGTTCTGAAGCAGCACCAGGGCTCCCTCTTCTGACCAGAGACCAAAATAGCCATAGTGGTTGCAGGACCAGGCCCACAACTGCAGCCACCTGGGATGTTATGAGCACCACCTAGGAGCCCTGTGGGAAGAGCTATATAAGAACCAGCTCAGAATTTCCACAGGCACATTGTCTTCCATCTGGAGACCTAGACTATCTGGAGGACACTGCAGACTGAACCTACCAGCAGCTCAGTTAGTTGTCCTGCCATTCAAAGGACTTGTTCAGAAAGTCTCTTGGGTCTTTGAAAGGAGATTCCAGACCTTTTGCCAAAATGATGTCCTCCAGAGATGTCATGGCTGGGATACTGCAGGTTGGTAGATGGTCAGAGTCAGATACATAGTCAGCTGATGAGGAGGATTGTTCCAATGGTGAAGGGGGTCTACGAGGCAGAGTGTACTGAGTCTGGGGAGGCTGACAGGCAGGAACCTGTGGCAATAAGATGAAGGTGTTGTCTAGCACAGGACCAGTGAAATTGTCAGGACTGTTGACACAGATGGAGGTACCTTTGGGTTTGCCAAGTGATAGGGCAACCACTGATAGTAGTGCAGGTTGGCAAAACCTGGTTCCCTTGAGTAAATGTGGTGGAATGGTTGATGGAACGGTTCCACTGGTTGAACTGGTGTCTAATAGGATCCTCTGTCTCAGGTCAGTCAAGGAGACCTAGACCGTTCCATTGGAGGGCAGCTGGATGCACAGAAGAAAATCCTACATTAGGGTTCAATAGATGAGCTTGGCAATTGAACCACAGAATGTAGTTCCCGGTGCGGGAATTTGAGGAGCCTCAGCAGTGAAAATCAAGACAGGCTGGTCAGCGAACAGGGAGATGAATCCCATATTTTTGCTTCTGAGATGGATAAAGCAGTGGTTTCGCTCTGCATTGTCAGGTCCAATGACGGGGTCAGAGCAGAAGCCAGAGCCAGAATGGCTGGTCTGGAGAGGAATTGCACCTGCAGCCACTGGCGGAACAGGCTGAAGTGCTAGTCCAGAGGACATGGATGGTGAGTGCTGCTGGGTCTGTCTTTCAGGCTTCTCTTTGCCCTTCTTCTGTTCTTTCTTTGAGGCTGTCATTTTGTGGGTCCTCTTTGCTTTCTTTTTGGGCCTATCTTTGTCTCATGCAGACCCAGGCCTGGGATGCACAAATGGAATGGCTGGTGGAGCCCCAGCAGCCACCAATGGGGCATGACAATGAGCTGGGGGCTCAGGAGTGGTCATGGAGAATGACTGCACTGTCATTAAGGTGTGGCTCTATTTCAGTCTTCAGGTGCCTGGCCCAGTTCTTTGTATGCCTGCCAGGAAAGATCTGGCAGTGGGGACAAGAGTCCACTTTGTAGTCTTCACCAAAACAGACATAAAAATGCCCATTGGTCATGGGCATCTGTACACCCCAGCATACACATTTCCAAAATGCTGCTTTGAGGACCATCAGGGGTGGGAGGGGGAAAGGAGAGAGACAAGAAAAAGTTCATGAGGTAGAAAACAGAAGGGTTTTGTTTTTTGTTTTTGGAAGAAGAGGGATTGGGATATGAGGAATACAAGCAAAAGGAGGGGAATACAGAGCAAAAGAGCATATCAGGAGGTTTTGAAAAAGCTGAGGTAAAGTGAAAGAATACTAGGATGCAAACCCAAGACACTCAAAACGGGAGTTGGAAAAGAACTGGGAAAATGGCAGGAGCCCTGCCCTTAGGGGAGGGGTGTGGCTTCTACCAAAAGGAGCTTAGCAAGGAAAATTCCCACAACAGGCCCTGTGCAGGTGCAGTCCATATGTGTGAAGCACAAAGACCATGAAGAAGAACCAGGACTGCTAACAAACAAATGTAGGCTTTTGGCCATGTTAAAAATACGGAAGATTGTGATTTGGTAGCCACCTACAGATCTGCTCCATCGGTCCTCTCTGCCCTTGAGAAAAGGAGCATCCCTTATCTGCTGAGAAATCAGCCCCAGTCAAAGATGATGCAGGTCTGGAGTTGCCCATTGTGCTGCACAGACTCCGTCAGGAAGCCACTGAGAACAGCCTTCTCCATTACCTGCTGCTGGCTTTGCTGATGCAGCTGCAGTTTCAGCATGTGCTGCTGCTGCTGCTGCACCGCCTGCATTTGCTGCTGCTGCTGCTGCGCTGCTGCCACCGCTGCCACCTGTTGCTGAACCTGGAACTGCTGCTGCATGGCTGTCTGCTGGGCCTGGAACTGCTGCTGCTGCATGGCTGCCTGCTGCTGCTG